ATGGTTACTCCTGCTGAGAACCTCTGTCCTAATGCCTGTGAGCAGGGTGTCCCAGGTAAGGATTAGGGGATGAAGGAGTTGAGCTTTCACTTTCCAGGGATGCCCACCCCCTTCCCCTGTGAGCACCGTTTCTCTAAACGGGGGGGCTATTGCTCATGCCTCCCGGCTCTACCCCACCCCAATCTCTTAACAAACAACCATTTTTCCTCCCACTCATTGCATCAAACATACATGCATGAAAGTACGTGTGTGAACACATAAACACATGTGCATTCAAGCACACGCACATTTCCCCAAAGTCAGAGGAGCTTCCTTTACCATTTCTAAGTGTTCGAAGGAAATGGAAGAGAAGGAGGAGTGGAGGACTCCCAGTTCTAGCTCCATTCACCTCTTTTATTGTTATCATTGTTTGAGGGGGGATGTTTTTTGTTTTTGAGACAAGGTCTCACTATGAAGCTCTTATTGGCCTGGAACTCACTACATAAACCAGCCTGGCTTGAACTCACAGAGATTAGCCTCCTTTGCCTCCTGAGTACTGGGATTAAAGGGTGTGTGTCACCACACTCGGCACACCTCTTCTTTTGTAAATAACAACATACTTTACTTAGGGGGCTTGCAAGATGGCTTAGTGGGTAAAGGTGCTTACCACCAAGTCTGAGAACCTGAGTTCAAGCCCCAGAACCCAGATGGTGGGAGAGAACCAACTCCCTTAAGTAGTCCTCTGCTCTCCATATACACGCAGTGTCATACACACACTCTCTCTCTCTCTAAATAAATAAATAAATAAATGTAACAAAAATCTTTTTAAGTAGTTTATAGCTAATAAAAAATAATTTTATTTACTTATCTTATGTGTGTGTTTCTGCATGTATGAGTGTGGGCAAACCCATGCCACAGTGTACATGTGGAAGACAGAGGCCAGCTTGTGGGAGTTGGTTTCTCCTTTCACCAGCTGGGTTCCAGGAATCGAATTCAGGTCATCAGGCTTGGCAGCACGTGCTTTTACCCTTTGAGTCATCTCTCCAGCCTTTCATCCACCCTTTCTAGTTTCCCAACTCTCATCTTTCCAGAACCAAGACCTCAGGTGTGCATGTCCTGGGGCATTCACCTGGAACCCCAGTGCCAGCTCAGCTTGCATGTTCCATAAAGGATGGCTGTGATGAGTGGGGCACAACCCTCAGAGGCTCAGACATCGTGGCAGGCAGAGACAAAGAAGCACAGACCATCCCAGTGTTTCTACCTAGTAATGGATGGACGGATGGAGGGTGCATGTGCATACATAAGCCCCGGGGTTTCATCCACAGCACTGGGAAAAAAAAAAAAAAGAAAGAAAGAAAGGAAAGGTTCTAGAGCCATCTGCCTGCCCATTCATTCATTGAAAACACTTTAATTTTATTTATTTTTTATTTTATGTGTATGTGTGTATTGCCTGCATGTAGGTAAGCATACCCATGTCATGCAACGTGGGGTCTCTCCCTTTCCTCGTGGGTCGTTGGCCACCGGTCCATGAGGACAAAGGGAGCAGAAGTGACGAACGGAGTCAGGGACGGCCAGTGAGCACTGACAGAAGAAAGCCCTTCTGGGGAGGCAGGTTCAATGATGCAAACAGCTCCAGACTCAGTGAAACAGCTCCGATTATGCAGTGGGAGAACTGGGGAAAATATAGTGTGGAGGCAGTAGCCAAAGCCTCAGCTGATAGGTGCTCATAGTGTGCTTTATTTACATGTGGCAGTGGGCTCCTATCGTCCAACTACCAGGCAATGCTTGATTATCATACAGAAAAAACCTGGGGGTAGTTTTTACTCCAGGTAACTATGCCAAAGGTCACGTTTTAAATGAGGCGAAGCATCTGTGCTTGGCGGCACTTTCCAGGTAAATCAGGCAGGAAGCCTCTGCTGAGAAAGGAGCCAACCTTAACAGCAGAGTTCCCCAACACTGCAATGCCTGAGGAGGTCAGAAGAGGCTGTTGGATCCCCTGGCACTGGAGTTACAGACAGTTGTTAGCTGCCATGTGGGTGCTGGGATTTAAACCCGGGGCTTCTGCAAGAACAACCAGTGTTCTTAACCGCTGAGCCATCTCTCCAGCCCCTGAAAACACTTTAAAAAAATTTTTTTTATTGCCAGGCATGATGACGCATACCTTTGATCCCAGCACTCAGGAGGCAGAGGCAGGCGGATCTCTGAGTTCAAGCCCAGCCTGGTCTACATAGTGAGTTCCAGGTCAGCTGGGGCTACAGGGAGACCCTATCTCAAAAAGACAAAAAAGAAATATGTGTGTATGTGCTGGAGAGATGGTTCAGCAGTTAAAAGCACTGGCTGTTCTTGCAGAGGACCCAGGTTTGGTTCCCAGCACCCACATGACAGCTAACAACTATCCTTAACTCTAGTTCCAGGGGATTCAATGACCTCTTCATGCCTCCGTGGGCATTGCACACATGTGGTATGCTTACATACGTACAGGCAAAATACTCATACACACAAAATTTTTAATAACTCAATGATTTTTAAAAATTATTTTTAAAGAACTATTTTATTTATGTATGTGTATGTGTTTCCCTGCATGTATGTATATATACCACATGCATGCAGGGTATTCCCAGAGCTTGGAACTGGAGATATAGGTGGTTGAACTGCTCAAAGCGGGTGCTGGGAACTGAGCACAGGTCCTCTGCTAGAGCAGTAAGTGCTCTGTTAAGCCATCTCTCCAGTCTAATCATCTCTCCAGCTCCACTTTTAAGCCTCTTTTTGGGGAGCAGGCTATGTCTAAGACAGAGGAAATCCAGTAGTATAAAACAGCGACTGACCTCCACCCTTGAGAATAGGGAGTGCTAGGTGTCCTAACAGAAGTTGTGAGCCAGGTGTTGATGACACACATCTGCAATCCTAACATTTGGGGAGTGGAGGCAGGAGGATCAGGAGTTTGACACCAGATTGGGCTACCTTGTCAAAAAGAAAAAGAAAAAAGAAAAGAGGAGGCAGTGGGGCTGGAGAGATGGCTCAGCAGTTAAGAGCACTGGCTTCTCTTGAGGAGGACCAGGTTCTATGCCCACCATCCACCCACATTGCAGCTAACAACCATCTGTAACTCCAGTTCCAGGGGATCCAACACCCTCTCCTGACCTCCATGTGCATTGCACGACACAGGTGCACTCACGTACATATAGGCAATACACTCATGCACTTAAAATAATAAGATTGAAAAAAAAGAGGAGGAGGAAAAGGAAAGGAAGCAGGAAGTTTGGAGAGTAGAGCAGCCCCAAACTGCTTGTGTTAATAATGGAGGTTTTCCAGAGGAGATGACATAGAGCAGGAATCTCCCCAGTGGAACAGTATGTGCATGGAATCAAAGATGATTCCAGACAGAGGCACAAACTGTGGGAACAACACATTGTCACTGAGGGACAAAGGCAGCCTGTGCACAAGGCACTGGGCCAGAAGGTGGCAGCCTCGTTTCGGCTATCCTGTTAACAAGAAGACAGTCATCTAAAGGGGAACTGAGGTGGCATAGCTCAATGGAGCTCTTGCCTAGCATGTGCCATGCCCTGGGTTCCCCAGCACTGTAGGGGGATAGGACTAGTGGGTGAAGGGAGTACCTATGATCTACCATTGGGATGACTGTCTTTACCACACATCCATCAGCACCGTCATTTTAGGTCATTTTTATCATTTCCCCAAAGAAGCGATTGTCCATTAGCAGTCAGCTTCCAAACCTCCATAATCTCATGCCACAAGCAAACACTAAGCCACTTTTTTATTTCTGTCATTTTAATTTTTTTCTATTATTTGTATTGCTATATGTTAATTGTGTATATTACTGGGGATCAGTGATCTAGTCCAACACCTGCATACCATGTGCACTGGTCAAGTCAGGGTAAGTAGTATTTTCCTCTTCTTATCATCTCTTTCTGATTGGAGACTTGGAGCTTCTGTCCTCTATAACTACTGTCTCTAAATAGATTTGCCCATTTTAACATTCTGTATAAATAGAATTCACAATATGGACTTCTTTATTGCCTGCATGTGTGTAAGTGTACTCATGTCATGCAATGCCCAAGGAGGCCAGAAAAGGGTGTCAGATCCCCTGGAACTGGCATACAGGCGGTTGTTAGCTGCCATGTGGGTGCTGGGAACCAAACCTGGATCCTCTGCAAGAGCAGCCAGTGCTCTTAGCCACTGAGCCATTTCTCCAGCCCTTGTATTTCATTATTTGAGAAACTGCCAGACTGTTTCCAAATTGACCTCATCATTTGTTCTTGCTAGTGGTACAGGAGAGCTCCAATTCCTTCACCTCTTTGCCAGTATTTATTATCATCTGCCTTGTTATTCAAGCCATCTTAGTGAGTGTGGAGAGGCATCACATGGGGGCCTTGATTTTCATCTCTATGTACAACTTCTGAAAACTATCAATACCATTTTTTGTTTGTTTGTTGAGGCAGGGTCTCATGTAACCAAGATTCTTCAAATCTGATATTTGCACTTTGTTTGGGGTTGGAGAGATGGCTCAGCAGTTAAGAGCACTTGCTGCAGAATCATGAGGGCCAGACTCAGATCCCAGCACCCACATTAAAAGCCAAGAACTCCCAAAACGCCTATAACTCCACCTCCTGGGATCCTACACCCTCTTCAGGCCTGCACACACACAGGAATGCCTCCTCATGTACACATACACTCAAATAGACATAGACTCAAATAAAACAAGTGTGGTGTGTGTGTGTGTGTGTGTGTGTGTGTGTGTGTGTGTGTGAGAGAGAGAGAGAGAGAGAGAGAGAGAGAGAGAGAGAGAGAGTTCCAGGAGGTCCAGCACCATCTTCCGGCCCCTGTGGGGCAATGCATGTTGCTCACTGACATATATGCAGGCAAAACACCCATACACATAAAATAAAAATAATAAAATATTTTTTTAAAGGTGTATGCCACCACACTTGGCTCCTTCAACCATTTTTAATTGGGTTGTTTGTCATTGTTATTATTGAACAGGCCCCATGCATATTGGAAAGGGAATGGCGACTTGCATAAACAATAGTCGACTGAAGGCCGAGGGCATGGGCCAACACAACAATGCCCAACACTACAAGAACCAGAACTTCGAGGAACTTCAAGCAGTATGTCTGAGGAAGGGGGTGCTGTTTGAGGACCCCTTGTTCCCCGCAGAACCCAGGTCTCTAGGTTTCAAGGATCTGGGCCCTAACTCCAAACAGGTACAGAACTTCAGCTGGCAGAGGCCCAAGGTAGGCACTGGAAGGGGGGGTGAGGACCCTGGCACTGGGAATGAGGATCCTGGCACTAGGTCCCAACACCATCAGAGCTGAAAATGCTTCAACCAAACCTCCCAGCTTACCCTTGGGCCATCCATCACCCAAGCCTGGTTATCACAACACAAGCTGTATTCAGCTGGCCCTCCCTGAACCTCCCCCTACTGCTACCACAGAACTCAGAGAGAAGCCCTTCACCCCTGACACTCCTATTCCTTCACCACAGGAGATCTCAAGCAACCCCCAATTCATCATGAATGGTCTCTCTCCCACAGACATCTGCCAAGGGGTCCTCGGTGAGTGGGGGACAGGGGGTGGGGAGACTGGTCTCCACAGGGCAAAGGGGGGAGGAAGAGAAGAGAGATAAAGGGAAACAGCAGGATAACTCTCAAGGCCAGGATACGGGAACCCCCTAGACTGAAACAGCCTCTGTTTCCCTGTCCCTCCCCCACCTGCTGCAGTTATCTGTTGCTACATAATAAGTCACCCAAGACTTAGTGACTTAAAAAACAAATCAAGGGGCCAGGCCCAGTGGTGGCCTACCCTCGCCTTTAGTTCCAGCACTCAGGAGGGAGTGCCAGGCAGATCTCTGTGTGATTGAGTCCAGTCTGGTCTACATAGCAAGTTCCAGGCCATCTAGGGCTACAGGGAGACCCTGTCTCAAAAAAAATAGAATAAAATAAAAAATCAAGGGATGGAGAGATGGCTCAGTAGTTAAGAGGGCTTGCTGTAAAATGATGAAGATCAGAGTTCAGATCCAAGTACCCATATACAAGCCCAGTGTCTACAAACACCTGTAACTCTAGTCCCAAGGGTTCAGTGCCTCCTTCCGGCCTCCAAATGCACAAGAGTGCCTTCCCCCAACCCCCGTACATGCACATAAACTCACACAGACATGTACACACACACACACAATTAAAATGGAATAAAATAAACTAAAAGCCAGGTGTAGTGGTGCATACATGTAATTCTAGCACTAGGGAGGTAGAGGCAGAAGGATCAGGAGTTCAAGGCCAACCTGACCTACATGAGACTCTGTCTCAAACAAACAAGCAGCAAGCATTTCTCACCTCAGTGAGACTAACAGAGGTGGGTCAAAGCCTTTGCAGCAGCTCAGTGGGACCGGATAAGGCTCAGGAGTGTCTCCTGAGGCTTTAGAGAAGCCAGAGGAGCTTCCGAAGGCTTGGCTAGGGCTGGGGCTCCATTTTGAGGTAATGCTGTCATATGGCATGAGGTCTCAGGGCCTACATGGCACTAGCGCTTAATTGTCAGGAGGCTTAGCTCTTTTCCACATAGGCTCCTCTATAGGTCTGCTTGTCCACACAGCAGAGTAGCTGGCTCCCTCAAGTGAATGGTCCAAAGAAGACAAGGAGAAAGTCACAGGGGTAGTTATATATTTATTTACTGAGGATGGACCCCAGGGCCTTGGGCAGGCTAGGCAAGCATTCTACCACTGACTACATCCTGAACTCACTATAAGGCCTTGTATGAACTAGTCTCAGGGGTCACAAACAGTAACTACCACCATATTCTATGTCTTCACTCAAGAACACAAGAATTATGGGGATGGTTGTTGGTATGCCCCAGGTTCAATCCCTAACATTATATTAAGCTGGGTATGTTAGCACATGCCTGTAATCCTAGCCTTCAGCAGGGGCAGGAGGACCACCCATGAGTTCAAGGCCAGCCTGGTCTACATAGTGAGTTCCAGGCCAGCTGAGGCTACAAGGAGACCCTGTCTCAAAAAAACAAAACAAAACAAAACAAAAAAACCTTGATTAAAAAACAAAACAAAGAACAACAAAGCAAAGTGGAGGGTGGAGAGATGGTCCAGTGGTTAAGAGCACTTGCTGTTCTTGAAGAGGACCCAGGTCCAGTTCCTAGCACCCAGGTTGGCAGCTCACAACATCTGTATCTTCAGTTCCAGGAATTTCAATGCCCTTTTCTGCCCTCTGTGGGTGGGTGCCAGGGATGCACACGGTACACCTACATATATGCAGATAAAATACTCATACACATAAAATACAAATATACTAATTACATTTTTTAAAAAAGAAAAAGTTTAAGGTTCTCCTCAGCCACATAGTGAGTACAAGGCCAGCCTGGGCTATAGGAGTCAATATCTTTAAAAGGGAGGGTGTTAGGGGCCTGGAGAGATGGCTCAGCAGTTAAGAGCATTGGTGGCTCTTGCAGAGGACCCAAGTTTGATTCCTAGCACCCACATGGTGGTTAAAAACTATCCTAACTCCAGTTCCAGGGGATCCAATGCCCTCTTCTGATCTCTGCAGGCAATACATAAAATAAAAGAATAGTTTTTAAAAATCCCAACAACTTAAATAAAGGGGGTGGGTGGGGGTGGGTGGAGAAATGGCTCAGTGGTTAAGATCTCATACTGTTCTTCTGGAGGTCTAGAGTTCGGTTCCCAGCACCCACATTGGGCAGCTCACAATTGCCTGTAATTTTGGATCTAGAGGATCTGACACCCTCTTGTGGTCTCCTCAAGCATCTGCACTCATGTGCACAAACCCTCACACAGATACACACATACATACTTTTTTTTTTTTTTAAGGGGTTGAGGAGAAGAGAAAAGGGATTTAGATTAGGATTCCCTTTTATTTTCTATCTATTTTTGAATTTTCTTTTTGAGATAGGGTCTCACTATGTAGCCCGACTGGCCTGAAACCACTATATAGGTTAGGCTGGCCTGGAACTAACAGAGATCCACCTGCTTCTGCCTCCCAAGTGCTGAGATTAAAGATTAAAGGTGTGCACCACCATGCCCAGGACCCTCCCACTTTTTGAGGGATAATATTCAAAGGTCTGTCTGTCACCAGTGGCACTAGAACTTTCTAACTCTGGGCCACTGAATAAGGGAGCAATGGAGTCCACCTGACACTGCCCCCAGGTGCCAAGTTGCATCTTCCTCCCTGAGCTACTCCACAGTTTCCTCCAGACCCCTCAGTACCAGGGTGGGCACTAGGTCTGAATTCTCTTGCCTTTTGGGTCAGGACAGAGGTCAAGGAATCCTAGGTCCCACAGCTGTCTCTGTAGCTCACTGGGCATAGTGCTGTGCATAGGAGGAAGAAATCAGGGACTCCCCAATACCCTTGTGTTGATGGTGACTGCAGCATCTTCAGGCTCTTCTCCTGCCTGAAGCCTCCCTCCATACAGCTGGGAGGTCACTGGTCATCATAGAGACCTCCCAGTACCCTCAAGCTGGCCAGGCCCTGGTGCCCTCAAAGTACCATTTGTTCCCTGGCCCATCACTGAGGGTCAACCTCAGGAGGCAGATGGCAGTGGGTGACTGACTCGTGGTAGTATGCTCCCACAGGCCCTGGCAAGGACATTGCCCTTGTTCTCCATTCTCAGGTAGTTTCAGGGCTCCCACTGGACTACAGAGTCCTGGGTCTCCAGTAGAATGTGGGTGATAAGACAGTCATCTTATTTTGTAAGATTTTTATTTTAATGCCAGGTGTGGTGGTGTGCACCTTTAATCCCAGCCTTTGGGAGGTAGAGGCACATGGATCTCTATGAGATCAAGGCCGTCCTGGTCCACATAGTGACTTCCAGACAGGCTGGGACTAGGGAGACTCTGTCCAAAAAGAGAAGATTTTTATTTTAGATTTTTAAAAATATTTTATTTCCTGTGTATGAGTGTATTGCCTGGAGGTAGGTAGGTGTACCCATGTCGTGAAATGCCCACAGAGGTCAGAAGAGGGTGTTGGATTACATAGAACTGGAGTTACAGATGGTTGTTAGCTGCCATGTGGGTGCTGGGAATCAAACCTAGGTCCTCTGCAAGAGCCACTGAGCCATCTCTCCAGTCCCGATTTTTTTTTCAGAACTTATGTGTATGTGTGTTTTACCTGTTTGTGTGTAAGCACACCTGTTAGTACAATGTCCAAGGAGGCCAGAAGAGAGCTTTGGGTACCCTGGAACTGGAGTTACAGACAGTTGTTAACTACCATGTGGACTCTCTGCAAGAGCAGCCAGGGCTCTTAACCACTGAGCTATCTCTCCAGCCCCAGATTTTAATTTTTATTATTTACGTGGCTGTCTGTGTGAGTGTATGCACATGTTTATGTAAGTACCCTCAGAGGTCAACTACAGGTATTTGTGAGCCACCAGACAGACATGGGTGCTGGGATTCGAACTCCAATCCATGATAAAGCAGCAAGTGCTCTTAACTGCTGAGCCATCTCTCCAGATTCAAGGCATTTTTTTTTTTTTTTTTTTTTTTTTTTTTCCGAGGCAGGATTTCCCTTTAGTTCCAGCTGCCTTGGAACTCTCTATGTAGGCCAGGCTGGCCTTGACTTCACAGAGATCTGCCTGTCTCTGCTTTCTCAGTGCTGGGATTAAAGTCATGTGCCACCACACTGCCTAAGAAATCTTTGTTTGTTTGTTTGTTTGAGACCGGGTCTCACTATGTAGTCCAGATTGGCTTCAAACTCACAATCCTCCAGCCTCCACCTCCAAACTACTAAGATTACAAGAGTGTGCAAGATTACAGAAGACATCTTGGGCCTTTTGCCACTTCACAACATGTCCACAGAGTGGGAGTGGGAAATGTGGGCCTCAGGGAAGGTGACTGGATCTGTTCACAAGGTGGGAGGCTACTGACCCTCCTCCAGAGAAAGACAGTATGCCTCCTTCCCAAATTCCCCCACAGCAAAGCGTGTGGTTGTGATTTGTGACTTACCTGACAGAATAAGTACAGGAGCTCACCTCCCTAGAGCTGGCCCTCTGCCCCATTTTCCCTGCTTGGTTCCTTCCTCAACACTCTTCTGAGAGAAGGCCAAGGGAGGGCAGCTCTGCTGGGGGGCTGGTGCATGGGACCAGGTTCCTGCCCCTCTTCTTGGGCTCTGGAGTCCCACACTTGTGAGGCTTCCCTAGGAACAGCCCTGCCTGCCTTCCAGGGGACTGCTGGCTGCTGGCTGCCATTGGCTCCCTCACCACATGCCCCAAACTGCTGTACCGTGTGGTGCCCAAGGACCAGACCTTCAAGAAAAACTATGCTGGCATCTTCCATTTTCAGGTGAAGAGAGAGAGAGAGAGAGAGAGAGAGAGAGAGAGAATTTAGTTTCAAACGTAAGGCTAATATTTCAGAGAAATGTCTACTTATGAAAGAAATCATTTACGCTTATTTTTTCAGAGGGACACTTCAGATCCCCTGGATTTGGAGTTTACTGACAGTTCTGAGCTGCCTGATGTGGATACTGGGAACCAAACTCGGGTCCTCTGAGCAGCAAACACTCAACTGCTGAGCCATCTCTCCAGCCCCATAGGCTAATTTTTAAAAATTCCACAGAAAAGAATTAGCTGGTGTGGCTCTCTTCTCCTTCTCAGAGATAAACATATGCTCTTCTCAGCATAAATATATGTTCAAGTGTCTGAGTGTGTGTGTGTGTGCGTGTGTGTGTGCATGTGTCTGCGTGTATGTGCACAGGTGTATGTGTATACGAGTATATATGTATATAAGTTGGGGAGTGTGTGTATGTTGTGTGTGAGTGTATGTGTATTAGTTTGTAGATGTATGTATGAGTATGAGTGTATGTGTATGAGTGTATGTGATCTGGCCCTTTAATTGTTATAGGAGAAATTCCCAACATTCTAAAATAGTTCTAAGAATCATAGGCATTTTTTTAAGATAACAGAGATCCTAACCTCCAGCTGTCTTTTTTCAAGGTAGGGCTTCAGTAAGGAGATGGGTGGGGCTTCTGGAGGCTGGGGCAGGCCTTGGTTGGGGCTTTTGTTGACTTTCCTTCACCTGTTCGAAGGAGTGACTCTGTGCCTTGGTGATGGCTCAGTGGTCATGTAAACAGGAGTGCAGTGGGTAAGTTCCCTTGCCCCAGCCTCTGACCTCCACACACAATAAATGTTTATTTTAAATCCCAGAATACTGGGGCTGGAGAGATGTCTCAGTGGTTAAGAGCACTAACTGCTCTTGCAGAGGACCCAGGTTCAATTCCCAGCACCCACATGGTGGCTACAAACCATCCTTAACTCCAGTTCCAGGGGAATCCGAATCCCTCTTCTGACCTCCACAGCTTTGCACAACACAGGTGCACTCATACACATAAAATAATAAAAATAATAAAATATTTTTTAAAAAATCCAAGAATACTGAGTTATGTCACTGGTGTGTCACCTTGCCTGACCACCAGGAGGTGCTCTGAGGACAGGGTTCATTCTGTGGGGGGACGGGGGGAGGTGCACCAGGGCCCCAGGACAGACAAATGTCCCCTTGCCACCTCACAGTTTTGGCAGTTTGGACAGTGGATGGACGTGGTGGTGGATGACCGGCTGCCCACTAAGCATAACAGGCTAGTGTTCGTGCATTCCGCTGAGCGCCATGAGTTCTGGAGCGCCCTGCTGGAGAAGGCCTATGCCAAGTGAGCACCCAGGCCAGGAACCCGGCTTGTCGCTGACTGAACCAGGGGAGGAGGCAGGGCATGACAGGGCACATCTCAATTCCCTCACCACCCTGCCTGACATCCCTCCAACTCACACCTATCAGGAGCCTAACAGCACCCTCTCTGCCTCTGCAGGCTCTGTGGATCCTATGAAGCCCTGGCAGGGGGCAGCACCATGGAGGGCTTCGAGGACTTGACTGGGGGTGTGGCCCAGAGCTTCCGACTCAAGAAGCCCCCTCACAACATGCTGAAGATCCTTAGAAAAGCTCTGGATCGGTCTTCCCTCATGGGCTGCTCAATCGAAGTAAGCCAAGCTACGTGCTGCCTCAGGGCCTTTGTGCCTGCCATTGCTGCCCTCCTGGGAGGCCCTTTCCCCAGACGTCTTCATGTCTACTTTTTCTCATTCACTACAGCTTTCTAGAACCAGCCTTGTCTGCCTCCAGCCCAGAGTGGCTGTCCCCACTTGGTATAGCTTCTGCTTTCTTTTGACTTTCTCCTTAACATTTGTTGTGACCTGAAGTATCTCATTGACTTGTGGAGCTATTCACAGCTTATCTTACACTCCCAGAGAAGGGAGAAAGTTCCATGAGAGCAATGATGTTAATTTGCCCACTCATGACTGGACCCTGGGACTTTGGACAGGACACAGCATGCAATAAGCACAGACAAATATTTGTTCAAATAAATAAATGAATTCAGAGTGCTTCCATATAAGAACATTTGGGGGCATTGATTGCAGAAAAAAATGCTTATGGCAATTGTATTCAAAATAGTAAAAAAAGCAGCCTAGTTGTCTTTTAGCAGATGAATCATTAAACAGCCTGATTGTTACAAACCACAGAATACTACTCAGCAATAAAAAGGAATGAACTAATGATACATGTGAGAACTTGGAAGGATCCCAAAGGAATGAGGCCCAGTGGTGGTGGTGGTTGGGGGGGGGAGAACGGCCCCAGTAGGCTGCAACCTGCACACTCTTGTTTACATGACTTTGAAATGACAGCATGATGCTGTAGAACAGATTAGTGATTGCCAGGGGTAAAGAAAGTGAGCAGTTAGAAGAGATAACATGGTTACGAAAGGCCAAAAGATGCTTACGGTAGCAGACATGTTGGGTACCCTGACTGTGTTGGTGGACCCACAAAGCTATGTATGTGATAAAATTGCGTGGACAAACACAAATGACCACTAACAAAGCTGGAGACAGCTATATAGGTTGACACATTGCATCAAGGCCAACGTCTTGGTTTTGACATTGTGCTTTCTGTTGCTGTTGTTTTATCTTTTTAGTTGGCTGGTTGTTTTTTTTTTAATGTGTATGAGTGTATTGCCTGCATGTGTGTAAGTGTACCTGTGTCCTGCAATGCCCACGGAAGTCAGAAGAGGATGTTGGATTTCCCCGGAACTGGAGTTACAGATAGCTATTAGCAGCTATGTGGGTGCTAGGAATCAAACCTGGGTCCTCAGCAAGAGCAGCCAGTGCTCCTAACTGCTGAGCCATCTGTCCTGTGCCTGGTTGGTTGTTTTTTGAGAAGTGGTTTCATGCAGCCCAGGATGGCTTCAAACTCACTTCACAGTCAAAGATGACCTTGAACTTCTGATCCTCCTGCTTCTACCTCCCAAGTGCTGGGATTAGGCCAACAAGATGGCTCAATGGATAAACGGACTTACCATGCAAGCCTGGCTACCTGAGTTCGGTCCCCAGAACCCATGCAAAGGAGAGAACAGACTCCATAAAGTTGTGCTCTGACCTCCACATGCATATTATAGCACATGCACACACTAAATAAACATTTTAAAAAAGAAGTGCTGGGATTCCAGGCCTGTGCCACCACACCCGTACAGTTTCACAAAATGTACTGAGGAAATCCAGATTAGGGGGACACAGGCTCTCTTTGTATTATCTCTTACTACTATATGTGAATCTGCAGTTGCTTCAAAATATAAAGTACTGAGGTTGGGGAGATGGCTCAGTGGGTAAGAGCCCTTGCTGTAAAAGCAACAGGATCTGAGTTCAAATCCTCAACATCTATATATAAAAAAATAAAAGCCAGGCACAACAATATGTACTTGGAACCTAAGTGCTGGCGGGGGTGGTGCTGGGGAGGGAGGACAGACTGATACCAACTTTGCTGGCCATCCAGTCTAGTCCAAAATGGTAAGCTTCAGGTTCAGTGAGAGATTCTGTCTTGAAAAATAAGACAGAGGGGCTGGAGAGATGGTTCAGAAGTTAAGAGCACTGACTGCTCTTGCAGAGGACTCAGGTTCAGTCTCCAGTAGCCACATAGCAGCTCACAACCATTTGTAACTCCAGTTCCAGGGAATCCCATGTCCTCTTCTGACCTCCACAGGGACTAGGTATACACATAGTGAACATATATACATGCAGACAAAACACCTATATACATAAAACAGAAATAAATCTTTGGAAATAAATTAAATAAATAAATAATAAAAAAATAAAAATAAGATGGATAGTGATAGAGATACCCAATATCTTTCTCTGGGCTTCCCATGTGTTCAGATAAGCACACACACTTTCAAATACACCACGTGGGGGGTGGAGAGAACAACGTGTGTGTGTGTGTATGTGTGTGTCTGTGTGTCTGTGTGTGTCTGTATGTGTAAAATCAAGCTGTGGTGGTGCATATCCACAATCTTAGCACTCAGGAGGCTAAAGCAGGAAGATCAGGAGTTCAAGGACAATCTCGTCTACATAGGGAGTTTGAGGCCACCTAGGCTATATTGAGACACTGTCTCAATATATATGTATTTATATATATGTATATCTCTGTGTATTATAAATTACATTAAAAGAATGCCTTTCTCAGGATTTTTCAAGTACCTTCCCTTCCTCCTTTTCTGTAGGTCACCAGTGACAGTGACATGGAATCGATAACCCATAATATGCTGGTGAGAGGACATGCTTACTCAGTGACTGGCATTGAGAATGTGAGTACTGGCAAATGGGCCTCTCTTGAAAGCTATGAAGTGGGCCAGTGCCACCCCATGAACTTTCATGCCTTGCCCTGCCCCAGATCCTCTACAGAGGCAAGATGGAAACTCTGATTCGGGTCCAGAATCCCTGGGGCCGGATTGAGTGGAATGGAGCCTGGAGTGACAAGTAGGTCCCCTGACCCGAGGGAAGGGAGCAGAGGACTAGGCAGGCCCCACGTGCAAGGCAGTGCCACTGAGGGACCAACCCATGTCCCTGATGCTGCTAGGTCTAACTCGTGAACTCTGGAGGGGGCCGGAAGTCCCTCAGGGAGGAAGGTGGACAGCTTCCCCCAACCCCATTCCTTCTGTCTTCCCTCTGCAGAGCCAAGGAGTGGGAAGAGGTGAGCCCTGACATCCAGGTGCAGCTCCTACGGAAGAAAGAAGATGGGGAGTTCTGGTCAGTGTGGCTTGGAGGAGCTTGAGACTCCCCTCGTACACATCCCCTATCTACTTTGCCATCCTCCACACTGTGCTTTGATATGGGGGTCCTGGGGTCTCGCAGGGAACAAAGGCCTGTAGGTATGGATGTGGGATGCACTGACAGCTCTCTCCTGCACCCTCACCCTTAGGATGTCCTACGAAGACTTCATGAGCAACTTTACACTCCTGGAGATCTGCAACCTGACCCCGGATGCACTTTCCTCCTGGGACCACAGGAGCTGTTGGCACACCATCTTCTATGAGGGCAGCTGGAGGAGGGGCAGCACTGCAGGGGGCTGCAGGAACAACCCTGGTGGGTGAGAGGACCCAGGGGTGCAAGTGAGGGAGAAGTCACAGACTCATACAGCCTGAGCACAAAATCACAGGACCAGGGTGCATGAGGTCAGAGGCAGTCAGATCCCATGCACCCCAACCCTCAGAAAGGAAGCAGATGTATGACTGGGGAACCCCACAAGGGGTCAAGGCCTTTCCCCAGCTTAACCATCCTAGCCTATTTCCTCCACAGAGACATTTTGGACCAACCCCCAATTTAAGATCTGCCTCCCAGAGGAGGACGACCCAGAGGATAACGCCAAGGACAAGGAGGTGGTGTGCACCTGCCTGGTGGCCCTGATGCAGAAGAACTGGAGGCACACTGGGCCCCAAGGAGCCCAGCTGCTCACCATTGGCTTTGTCGTCTTCTCGGTGGGCCTCCCAGGTCCCCAGCCACCTGCACTTTCTCTGGCCTCATTTCTTAAGACCCTTCTTCCCCAAGACCCCTGGGAGAATGAGACAAGCCCCACAAGCCCCATGGCCCCAGCCCTGGAGCAGTGCCTTCTGTTTTCTCTATGCCGCTGCTCTCTTTTCACAGATTTTTCTACTGACCACACCAGCTAGCATTTCTTTTGTGGCAGGCATCACCCCCAAAGACTCAGTACATCACACATACTAACACCCTTAGGGAGCAGGAAGGAGATTGAGGACCAGCCAGGTAGATGAGGTAACAGCCCAGGCTCACCTATCTCAGAGGCAGACACTGTATCCTGATTCCCAGGCTGTGGAGATGTTTGCAACCCCTTTCCCCCTCAATCAAGTGTGTCCACAGCTACCCCATCAACAACTCTCACCCTAGGGGCCAAAAGAAGTTCCCAATATGTGCTTCCCAAGATCAGTCATACTTTGCAAAATCCTAGAAATACCCATTTAGTCACTCACTTATATACTCAACATGTATGGAGTACCTACTGTTTGCAAAGTCTCTGGCCAGTCTCCAGAAACTCAATGGTGAGCAAGATTACTTCTTGCACAGCACTCGTGAGGCCCTATATCCCATCCCCAGGCTAGCTGGCCTGTGTGCTTCTGGCCAGTTCTGCCATCTCTGCCTCCCATCTTGCCATAGGAGTGCTGGGATTACCGATGCCTGATACCACACCTGGCTTTTTTAAGTAGGTCCCGGGGATCAAACTCAGGTTGTCAGACTTGAGCAGAAAGCACTTTCACCCGCTGAGCCATCTTCCTGGCCCTCCCTCTCTCTTCTTATGGAGCCACTAGTGCTGTCATAGGACCTTACACTCATGACCTCATCTAATCCAAATTGTTTCCAAAGGCCCCACCTCCAAATACCATTAACACATGACCTTAGTATGAAGTTTCTACCTAACTTTTGGAGTGACAGACTCCCAGGCCATAGCAGTCACCTGCTGTTTGACCTGCTTTAACTCATGACAAACTTATTTACAGCTCGATGCAGTGGCACACACTTATAGCCCCACCACTTAGGAGGTGAAAGCAAGAGGATCAGAAGTTCAAGGTCATCCTCGGCTATATAAGGAGTTCAAAGCCATCCTGGGTTACATAGGACTGTGTCTCAAAAACAAAACAAGCTGGGCATGATAGTACATGCTTTTAGTCCCAGCACTTGGGGGGCAGAGGCAGGTGGATCTCTGTGAGATCAAGGCTAGCCTGGTCTACATAGTGAGTTCCAGGCTAGCTGGAACTACAGGGAGACTCTGTCTCAAAAAAACAAAAAAATAAAAAAAAGACAAACATACAAACTTACCATTTATTCATCCAACCCTCTTTCCCTTTTATTTAGCAAATTATCTCTATCTCAGCCTCTCTCTCTGGGACTCTGTTTTCCTGTCCTTAACCTAGAGTGATAAAAATCTACCTTTGCGCTGGATGTGGTGGTACACACCTGTAGTCCCAGCACTTGGGAGGCAGAGGCAGACGGATCTCTGTGAGTTCAAGGCCTTGGTCTACATAGTGAGTTCCAGGACAGCTCGGGCTACAGGGAGACCCTGTCTCAAAAAGACCAAAAAAAAATCTACCTTTGCAAAACTTTGTGCAAACTGTACTTTTCAATCCAAAGCTGACAGATCCTTAAAGCGAACAGCCTACACCCCACCTACCACCATTGCCCCAGTGCCCTTAACACACCTTAACACACCCCAACACAGGTGCGCACGCACGCGCGTGCGCACACACACACACACACACAAACATGTGAAGCCACCTAGTTTCTGTAAATTCCAGCCCCTTCACTGCCCTAGAGATCTAATACTTTTCTCAATCCTTTTTCAGGTTCCAAAGGAGGTACAGAAGAGTTACTCCTGGACAGGCACCCAGCCCACCCCTGGGTGCATGTAGATTGGCAAGGGGAGGGATTTGGAGCAAAGTTCTGGGGAGTTGGCCACATGGGAGGAATCTGGGCCAGGGCAGTGGTACTGGTACCTGTCTCCAATCCTGCCCAATAGGTAGCTCACCTTGGGAGACCCACTCTCCCTGCTCTCCCCTGCCAGTCCTGTACCCACCTCCAGGATACATACAGTTTCAGAACCTCCAGGATATCCACTTGAAGAAAGAATTCTTTGTGAAGTATCAGGACCACGGCTTCTCAGAGATCTTCACCAACTCCCGGGAGGTGAGCAGCCATCTTCGGCTGCCTTGTGGGGAATATATCATTGTCCCCTCTACCTTCGAACCCCACAAAGATGCAGACTTCCTGCTTCGGGTCTTCACGGAGAAGCACAGCGAGACCTGGTGAGGGACTGACCTCACTGCAGTAAGGTCCCCTGCCCAAGAACTGCAGGATGTCAAGTTCAGATATCTAGCATCTGGTTGTCCTCCTTGTTGACCCTATTTTACACTCTAGCAAACTGAGGCATGAGGATGTGGAGTCTAAGTTGAACGTAGAAACAGAAATAGAATTAGAGCCCAGATTTCATGGAGCTGTTCGATACCACTCCAGACATAATGACAGGACCTCCCACAGAGTACCCAATGAGACCCTCATCTCTCTGGCCCCCAGTTACCCCTAAGCTTTCACTCACTTTTGCCCAGGGAGCTGGATGAAATCAACTGTGCCGAGCATCTCCAGGAGGTAAGGGGAAACTCCAGAGTTGAGGGGCTGGAAGAAAGCATGTATGAAGTGTGAAGGGAGTTTTTAAAACTGGGTCTCTTTCACATCCCCTCCTCAGGAGACCATCTCTGAGAAGGATATTGACCAAGAGTCCATTCGCTTGTTTGAGATTGTGGCAGGCTTGGTGAGAGAGCCATGGACTGAAGCTGAAGGGAGGGGTTTGCTGGGCTGAAGGGGCCAGAGCGGGACAGGTGATTGTGGTCCCCTCTTTTAGGACAAGGAAATAGATGTGTATGAACTACAAAAACTTCTCAACAAGATCACCAGTAAATGTGAGTGGTCCAGCCCTAACACTCACAACCCTTTCCTATAACACCCTGTCCCACACTACATTCATGTGTCTCTTCGTCCTGTTTTCCCTCCCTCACAGTCAAGAACTTCAAGACCAAAGGCTTTGGCTTGGATGCCTGTCGCCGTATGCTCAACCTCATGGATGTATCTTCCTGCCCTGTGGCAATCCTGACCAATGTTTTCCCACCCTATTCCCTGCTCCCTAAGGCTGACTCAGAAGTGGTCACCTCTCTGGTCACCGTCCATACCCTCCTTCATGATAGGGATTAGACTTTGGGGTAGCAAGAGATGCCGACTCTGGCTGTTAGCACCTGTATCTGTGTGGGGGCTTCTGTTTCCCCATCCCCAGGGTGTCCTCTTCATTCCCCTCCCTGCTGTCCTTGACCAATCCTGTCTAGAAAGATGATTCTGGCAAGCTGGGGCATCTGGAGTTCCAGGTCCTGTGGAAAAAAATCAAGAAATGGACGGTAAAGGGCCCTAAAGAAATAGTCCAAAGGGGTGGGGACCAGCAAAGAAACAACTAGAACTGTTCA